AGTGTACTGGGCTTATCTATTCAAACTGTACATACCAGAAGTCATAAAAATTGCTCATATTCAAATGTTCATGACCAAGTGATGTAGGTATACTCCCAAAATCTTTTGGGGCAGCCATCTTAATCACCTTTTTAGAAATATGCATATCATGCTGGGGTGAAACAAGTCACATGCTTTACCTTCCACCAAGGTGTTATGTACCCACTTTTTTACTAAGGCACCAGGAATTACCTGTACAATTTCTGAAAGAGTCCAGCGCTACTGAATGTACTGCATTAGAATGTCAAACAGTAAGCCAGACAAGAAAAGAATAGATGCCTATATAATAGGTATAAAATTCCTTAATAAAATTAAGTACATAAAACCTGTGGTGGTGCAACCCCAAATCCAATATAAGTTGAATAGTATTGTTAATGGTAAGAAACACAATCTATCCAGCTCCATTTTGTGAATGGAGATCTGTAATTGAGAAAGGTCTTTAAAGTGGTGTCTTTGTTATCCACTCTCCTAGGTCGTATGGTGGTGTGTGCATTATCAGAGAAAGCTGAATCAATCATAAGGCATCTCTCCTCTTGCCCAAATCCAGACCAAGTTTTATGGTCTCTTGCCAAAGGCATGGACCTATGCCACAAGTCTTCATCTGTCATCTCACCGGTCATCCAGGCTTCTCAGAGAGTTCTTCAGTTCCCAAAGGCATTGAGGCCATGGGATGAGGAATGACTGATGATAACTGCACTCTTGACCAGAAAACTGACATCGTCACTCAGAAACATGCCCAGATGTCCCAGGCAAAGTGGCTGTAGGACCATTCAGCATACATGGAATTACCTCAAGAAATAATCATCACCATCATCTTCCCCAAACTCTGAAACTATTTCACACATACTGGACCATGAGAGAGATCCCCAGAATCCAGCACCAGTATCATCCACTGCAAGTAGCACAGAAGTCTGGCTGTCGTCACTGATGTCAAAGACAGTTTCAGGTTTTTGGTTTTTTTAATCAAAAATTCTGCTCTATGGTAAGGTTCAATTTGGACTGACAGGACTAACTTGAAAATACCCATCTTCTCCATCCTTGCAACTGCAGAAAAATATTACACATCAAGACAAAGACCAAGAAAAAAACGCCAAGAGATGAAATAATTTCCACCTAGAACAGAGGTTTCCACAGACAGGTGTACCCTGTGGGGAGGTATGCCCACATGGCCAAGAAGGCCAATGGCATCCTGGGCTGTGTGGCCAGAAGGACCAGGGCAGTGATCGTCCCCCTGTACTCAGCACTGGTGAGGTCACACCTGGAGTGCTGTGTCCTGTTCTGGGCCCCCCAATTTAGGAAGGACACTGAGATGCTCAAATGAATCCAGACAAGGGCAACGAGGCTGGTGAAGGATAAATCCTGTGAGGAGGCTGAGGGAGCTGGGGTTGTGCAGCCTGGAGAAGAGGAGGTTCGGGGGAAACCTTCTCACTCTCCACAACTCCCTGAAAGGAGGGT